AAACATATATGGTGTGTTTCCCACACAGGGAATCAACGTGTTAATTTGATTCTTTAAAAAAAAAACTGTTATTTTCAAGAATAGAATTATAACTTGTTGAAACACACCCGACGTTCTAAAAGTGAAAATGTATATGTGGGTTTTCTTTGACATATTCCTTACCGTTTATGTCTGAAGAGATAATCATGGTGGATTTATTTATTTTAGATTTCTTTAGTTATAGGAGGGTTGACTTCAAATGCTTAATACAATAGCATGATCAATTAATATTTTTTTATATTCTTTAAAATATCTTTAATATTTTGCGAATAGCGGTGTTTTTCTTTTGTTGTAAATTTATCTGAAAGGGAAGATAGCAATCAAGAGAACAAAAATGAGAAGTATTTTTAATTTATATTTATTCTAAAAAAAGTTTTACAAACGGAATTCTTTATTTTTCTCTCACAAATACATGGCAAATGTATATAGAATTACGTAATGACGTTTAAGTCGTATAGCACGTAATAAAACTACGACGGCATGCAGTTTTAAATGCATTTTGAAAAATGTCTTATTTCAAACTAACTGATATCCTATAAATCGGTTTTCTAATTAAGAGAGAGTTTCTTTAATCCTTTTGCCGTACCATCGTTATATGATCCTGCCGAATGCAAGATGGCTTCCATAAAAAGATAATGAGTATGTTATTAATCTAGATAAAGGGTAATTGGTTTGAAAATTTCTTTAACAAAGAACGCCGATAAATAAGTGGAACCAATGGAATAATTCAGTTAGGATGTTCTTATTAGAACTGTATGACTTTCCTGCGTAAATTGCCCTTTCTTGGAATGAGTGGGCAGCGCACAAAAGATTAAGGAACATCACAGGTTTTATGAATTTCAAAAGGTTATTGATTCCCTATAAGAGCTCATATACAACTGACACAGTGGCGTGTTTCTCTGAAGTAGAGATTATTCAGGAGTCTAAATTGGTAAACTATGACTTTATGTACTTAATACTTATTTTTTTTTATTTCTTTTTGTAAGTTTTGTGATCAAATTCTAAATGTATGATATAAGCTTAGGTAGATGTTATACTTCAAAAAGTTTATTACTCTGGAAGATTTTATTTTTAATTATGATAATGTTGACTGACTTGAGTATAGGGGTATAAGTCATTCTTTGACTGCATGTGTTTTCTTTGATAACTTTCTTTAGAAAATCAGAACGCCTAAACTCCCGTGACAGGCAAGGGACAGAACTACGCCTGTAGAAAAATTAAATAATTATTGTATGTTCCATAGTACCGATGTCATCTTTTTTAATTGCATTCCATCTCCAGACATAAATACAATGGATTTCATCATTTATTATTTCTTCCGAATCTCTAGATGTTTTCAAACGATCCATCAGATTTTACTAGAGCTAAGTACATTGACACAATTTCAAAGTCAGATTTCAAAGTGATTCGTCATCTTAATTAGTAGTACGAAAAGGTCGTTACTGCGAACGTGATACATCGGTCATTGTTTGTGATTTTCCGTTGCTTGCGGTCTGTAATAAAATTTTCGGAATATATTGGATTTCACACTGAGATGTTTTCTGTAAATAGCGATTTTATACCTTTAAAACCTTCAATGCTTAATATTGGTGCCCAAGATTTAACATTGCATTTTCGTAGGCTTTAAAAAATATTCTCAAACGGATTTGTTTCAAGTTAAATGTATCCAATGATTTGATTTGAACATATTGTATAAATAATATACAAAGGGTTTGAATATAAGTTCTAGCAACTTACAAGGTTCTCACCTCCATTGTATCCAATCTGACTTAAGAAAATAAAAAATAATAAAACTTAAATCTTCGACGTTTCATGATATTTTCTTGGTTACTGTACCACTGAGCTCTGTTTGTAGATTTGAAATTGAAAAAAAAAAATGAAAAAGGTGTTTCTTAATTCTATTTCTGTCTAATCCTGAAGAACGCATTGTTGTGGGGTTTTTTTTTACTCAATAGTTGGGTGCCAAAAAAAAATCATAATTATAATCTTTGCATTTAACACACTCTTTAACTACAAAATGTGAAAATATATAACAATACTAAAGATATTTTTTTTTCATCTTTATCTGTGTTTGCTTTAGTGATATCCTTCATTTAAAAAGAGAAACCCCTTTATTTGTACAGGAATGTTCTCTCTCTCTCTCTCTCTCTCTCTCTCTCTCTCTCTCTCTCTCATCAGACAAATTTTACAACTCGGCACATTTGAACTAATTTGACTGATGAGAGGATTTGTAGTATGTGAAGCGCTTAATTGTGTTCTACGGTGATATTGTAGGAAGATGGAATCGATTGTTTTTTGGTCATTGTTGGGTCTGATTGATGGATTAATTTGCTAATCCTGGGGATATCGGACAACGACCAGATGTTTCCTACTGATTCAACGAAATGACCTGTCGTTTTTATTTACGTTAACAACTCAATTTACACGCTTTTTACAGTTTAGTCTTATTTTCTTCTTAAAATTTACGAAAAAAGAGAATCTTTATCATGTGACATGATCTATGTTTAAAGTGAAGACAATACAATACAACGATGATGTATGTTTCATTATTGAAATATCGTTATGACGTCCCCATGATAAACGTTTCTATAGTTTATAGATTGAGGGGCAATATGAGAACCATCTATCCTTCTGTATTCAATAATCCAGAAGTGAAAAAAGAGGTAGATAGATTACATGATCAGTACGTACTGGTCCCTGCTGACAAAGCAGGTAACAACATTGTCTTTGTTTGTAAGGCTCATTATATTAAATGTATTTTAGAGGAACTTGGATTTAATTCTACAAGTGGTAATCCAACTTATACTCGTAGTTCCCTTTCTAAGGAAGAAATTCTTCAAAATCATATGTCAGTTTTGAATATTTTGAATATTCCAAACAACCAAAATGAATTTGAATTACCATATTTATATTGGATTCCGAAACTTCATAAAAATCCTTACAAACAAAGATACATAGCGGGTTCCAGTAAATGTTCAACCAAGCCTCTTTCTTTACTCCTCACTAAGATATTAACAGTGGTGAAGGAGAAACTTCAAGAGTACTGTGCAACAATATATTCGAGAAGTGGTGTAAATCAGATGTGGATACTTAAAAATTCCAAGGAACTTTTGGAAAATTTGAAATCGCAAGATTTTACCAAAATCAACAGCTTAAAAACTTATGACGATAAATTAAAGTCCAGGCTTTTTGATATAATTGACAGCTTCTTTTTCAATAAAAATGGAACTCGTAAATATACTTACCTTGTCATTAGTCATTTGCAAAATTATTTTGTTAAAAAACATTCTGATTGTACACACAAGTACTCTGAAGTTGACATTAAAAAGATGCTTGAGTTTCTGATTGACAATATCTATGTGGTTTTTGGAGACCAGGTCTTCCAACAATCTATTGGAATTCCCATGGGTACCAATTGCACCCCGTTATTAGCAGACCTTTTTTTGTATTCATATGAAGCAGTATTTGTCCAAAATCTTGTACGTGAAAAGAAGAAAACACTTGCTGTGGCCTTCAACTCGACATTTAGATATATCGACGATGTATTGTCAATTAACAATGGCTATTTTCATTCTTATGTCGATACGATATATCCTTGTGAGCTTGAGATAAAAGATACCACAGAGTCTGACACATCTGTTTCATATTTGGATATTTTACTAGAAAAAGACGTTAATGGTAATCTAACAACCAAGCTTTACGATAAACGTGATAACTTTAATTTTTCAATCGTCAACTTCCCTTACTTATGCAGCAATATACCTTCATCACCGGCATACGGGGTATATATCTCTCAGTTGATTCGATACGCAAGAGCATGCTCTACGTATGAACAATTTCTAAAACGAGGTAAATTATTGACAAACAAGTTGATGAAACAAGAATATCAGCTGTCTCGTTTAAAGTCATCATTTCGTAAGTTCTATGGTCGATACAATGACCTTGTCAGCAAATACAATTTATCATCGAGTCAAATGCTGACTGACGTTTTTCATACTAATTGTTAGGCCATTATTTACACACTGAATTGTCGACGGATTTTTCCGTTATTTCCCGATCATGACAAGGAGCACACGGCGGGTGTGACCGGTCGGCAGGGGATGCTCACTCCTCCATGGCACCTGATCCCACCTCTGATGTTTAGAGGTCCGTGTTTGCTCTGCTCCTATTTTGTATTGTTTTATGGACTTTTGAGCTTGAATACTGTTCGTTATCTCCATATATTTCATTTTGCTAATTATAATGTCTGCATGTCGAGTTACAGATCAATTACCTTTGAATATTAGCCATATAAAGTGTTTTAGATTGCATTAGCATTTTAAGTGATGAAACCACGCTGTTTCTTCAAATACATATGTCAAAATTTCATTCAGCCTTTAGCACTTTCTTTTGGATCTCTTGCGCATGAGACCTTGGTCTTTCGGTTGTGTTGTATTTTTTTTGTCTTTTTATCCTTCAATTAATACTAGTCATTTAAATTCATTAATTATTTCAGAGTCAAGTATTTGTGGTTAACGATAGTGTATTTTTGTAATAAGTGTTTTAAAGCCGTATTGACTACAAAAATACACTTGAACGATTCCCATAATGAACCGATGAATACTGGTTAATGCAAATAGATTTACTTAAGACTTTTGATGCCATTTCAAAACAGTAACATATCAATGATTTTTCATTAATTTAGAAAGAAATAATCAATCTTGCAGCTCATTATTTTTCATTCTTCAACTGTATCTCTAAAGAATATCTTGCTCAGGATTTTTTTTTTAATTATTATTTTATTATTATTATTATTTTATTTTATGTTTTATTTTTTTTTTTTGTGGTTGGTCTTACTGGGTGATGTGCTGGCATAGATAATTGTTGCAATAAACCTTCTCCCTATGATCAAAGAACTATCAAGATACTAATTAGAGGAACAGAAATACATACATTATTATTTGTTTGTTTCAGAAATGAATTCCAGTTCATTGGTTTCATCGCCAAGTACACCGTCGTTAATGGAAGATTTCTTATTTTCAAACATTACTAACTCGAGTCTGATCTCTAGGAACCAATCAGAAAGCATTATAAGCACCCCATTAGAATTGCTGAGTGAAGAACAATTGCGCTTGACTCGCCTTGTGGTTCAGAAGTGTCTTGTTCCTATCATCACCTGCGCAGGCGTGGCCGGAAATGTCATCAGTATTGCCGTTTTGACTCACAAAAATATGAAAACATCAACAAATTGCTACCTTACAGCACTGGCTATATTTGACGTTTTGTATTTACTGACAAGCATGGCCTTAAGTTTAAAACACTATGATGAAATAAATGAGCAAAGGATATACAAGTACTTTTATTTATACTCTCGAGTATTTGTGGATATATGGTCAAACATATCTGTGTGCTTGACAGTGACTTTTACAGTCGAACGGTACGTGGTCGTTTGTCATCCGATCAAGGGACGCGCCATTTGCACCCCTAGCAGAGCCAGACTAATCACGCTCTTCGTTGTTGTGTTTGTATTTTTGGCGACGTCACCAGAATTTTTTGAGTGGGAAGTATATGAATTTGTCGAACAACAAAATAACATTAGCGAGACCTCCTACGCGATTCGAACCACTGAAGTTGGGAGTAGTAAGGGTTACGCCGTATTCTATAGTTGGTTTATCGTCTTCATGTTCACATTTGCACCACTGGCAGCATTGCTGACTTTCAACATAATTTTGATTCGGTCAGTGTGCAAAGCAAACCGGATACGGAGAAGAATGACGTATGTTGCCGTAAAGCGTCCGGGTGAAAAAAAATCAGGTGAACAAACGAAAGTCACGTGTATGTTGATCAGTGTCGCCTTTGTGTTTATTCTTTGTCAACTTCCAACAGCAGCCATGATTTGTTTTAACATATATCTTGAACTTGCTGGGGTTGAACTAACCAAATCTGGAAATCACTATCGTATCATCGCAGGAAATGTGACTAACATTCTAATATCACTGAATGCTGCTGTAAATTTTGTCCTATACTCGGTAATGAGTTCAAGATTTAGAAAAGTATTTTTGCGAATGTTTTGCAAACATACAAAATATAGTACTGCACTACGTCGGAGTAATTCAGAATATTCCTATTCTACGAGGGTTTCCTCTGTTAGACGAATTTCAGCTTATCATGATTTTGAGAGTAAACGTCTACGTAAATTTCTTGACACAAATTCTCACTCGCCGGATCAACCAATCAAACATTACAAACTTCTTTCAAATCGACAGCATTCTCAGGAATCTGTCTTCTATAGAGAATCCTTAGGTCGCAATAAAGGCTTTCCAAAATTGTCATATACGGATACGGTGTTGTAACGATATGAAACTTGTGATTTATGTTTGTTTTCTATAAATATTTTTTTATTGCTGACAATGTTCTGTATCTTTTTATTCAATATTTTGTCAATGGTATAAGCCTTACTATCGGAACTATAATGCAAAAAAATATAGAGTATCATGCGTGATGGTTTTCAGTACAGAGTAAATGGATTGCTAAAATTTGACAGTGTTCTTGGAGATGCTCTGTGAAACACTTCAAAGCTCGTACTGATAATTTTAGACTAACTGAATTAAACCTTAACACATAAGTGTATATCCTTCTCAAAACCCTACGTTCGCCTCCCTGTTGGTAAGATGGGGCTACAGACTTAGTCTGGCTAACAGGAGAAATATGTATATTTGATTTAACTAACCCGCTAAAATGTCCAAATCCTATTTAAACTTCCGCTAAAATTTCTTCTTGGGGGGGGGGGGGGGGGGGGGGTAAAAGGCCCTATCAATTCGCTTAAGTATCAAACGTCATAATGATCATAGTATTAAATCCAAGGATATGCATAAATTAATGACACAGCAGTAGGCGTGGCTAATATGTAATGTAGAGGCGGAATGGTGACATTAAAACATGAGACCTTGAAAACTTCAACAATATTACATAGAATATGAGGATGTTACTCAACCTCTTCTTTGTGAAGTACCACGTATTTTCTATTAAATTTTTTTTAAGAATTAGCCGCTGTTAGTTTTGGTAATAATAATTTACTTCTAAATTACTTAGATCCGTTTTTATAACCATCTGCCAGAGTAAAAAAAACTACTTTACATATGCAAACAATATCAGTAGTAATCCATTATATAAGAAATGAAAGCATATACGAATATTAATTTTCATACTTTTTTTAAAAGTAAAACTTGATTTTTTTTAATTGTGAAAATTATTATTCATATATGCTTACATTTCATATGTAATGGTTTACGATTTATATTCTTATGGATATTTACGTGGCACCTTTAGATCAAAGTAACTTCCAAAAATGCAATTAAAAGTGTCAATGGTCAACTGTTTCATAGCTCCTAGCTCAGTAGAACCAATAAGCACCTAGTTTAAAATATTCCATTGTGGTACTATTTTAATGCAATCGCATCTTCTCGGGCCCTTCCGACATGCTCGGAAAACACATCCGAGGTTGTTTTTCCGAACTTGCCGAAAGAATCCAGGAAGGTAGTAAAAAAATAAGCTAGGTATTTATCATACATGTAATTTAAGAAATAACTGATCGCTACAGTCTTGGCATTATAAGACCTAAGATACTGAAAACTTATTGTACAATTACGTACAGGCTAGACAATAAAACACGAAACTTCAGATCACGATAAAACGAAATTGACATTGTACAGTTTATCTACAGTAATATTGGCAGAATGCCATAACGTGAAGTGGAGTATGTGTATTCCAGTAGAGTGCTATATTGAAAAAATAAACACCATATTAGATAAACATTATTTCTAATTAATTCTTCAAACATTGTACAATTGTTGTGGTGTATTTTTGAGGAAATAGGGGAGACAAGGTTTAGTTATCTATATTTTTAAAATTATAAAAGATATATATATATATATATATATATATATATATATATATATATATATATAATTGTGTTCATTTCTCCCATCAAGGATCTTTTGGAAAAATTAAAATCAAAACATTTTACCAAAATCAATAACATAATAACTTACGACTTTTCAACTCTATGTACAACCATTCTCCACAATAAATTAGAGTCCAGGCTTTTTGACATCGTTGACGGCTGCTTTTTCAATAAAAATGGAATTCGTAAATTTACTTACCTTGTCAATGGTCGTTTGCAAGAATTATTTTGTTAAAAAGTATTCTGATTGTACACATAAGTACTCTGAAGTTTATTTTAAAAAGATGCTCGAGTTTCTGATTAACAAAATCTATGTCCAACAATCTGTTGGAATTTCCTTGGGTAACAATTGCAGCCCGTTATTGGCAGACCTATTTTTGTATTCATATGAAGCAGAATTTATTAAAAATCTTATACATGAGAAAAAGAAATCTCTTGCCGTGGCCTTCAACTTGACATTTAGATATATCGACTACACACTGTCAATTAACAGTAGTTATTTCCATTCATATGTCGACACTATATATCCTAGTGAGCTTGAAATAAAAGATACCACAGAGTCTGATACATCTATTTCATATTTGGATATTTTACTAGAAAAAGACGTTAATGGTAATGGCTCTAAATTCGCTCTTGAGTACATCTGGGAGGACAAATAAAGAATTCTGTAGACACGTTTTTTTCTTAGATTTCTTTATGTGTATTTGAAGTTTTGACTCTAAATAGGACAAAAAAATGTTTGAATAGATAATCAAGTCAAAAATAAATATTTTATTAATGTTTGAAATATGTGTCACGTAACACACGACAGACATATAACGTAACATGACAGATGTGTGATAAAACGTGACGTGATTAAATTACATTTCTGATGCTTAGCAATACAAATAATCTGTAAAAAATAAAATTAAACAATTCCTTTAACAATGCAAACATTTTTTTCACTCTTACGTAGAAGAAAAAAGATTTTAAGCTACTTTTGATGCACAAACTGATGATCGTAACACTGACAGACTCCTTTACTTAGCCAGCCATATAAACCATAAACTTTCATTATTTTATCAAAAAGATAATGTTGCCGTAAGAAATGGACATTATTCAAATCTTGATTCCTTATGGATTTTAAATTTGAATTTTTAAAAAAATAAATCTCTGCTATACGCTTTGTAACATACAAAATTTCCACCATGTCTGTCATGTTACGATATTTCTTGAGCAATATCTGTTTGAAACGAGCCAATAAAATTTATCATTCAAAGCTTATCTTTTATTCTTGGAAATTATAATACACAAGACATTATTATTTATGAAAATACTAATGAAATTTTAAAAAATAAATTATTGCATATAGATCAAACCTATATCGTAACATGTACGGATGCACGTAACCCTGACAGACTCGTTTTAAAAACTGCAAGAAAACAACTACAAAATTGTATTGTTTAAATTATAAAGACAAATTTTGCCTTATGATACACTAATATTCTTAAATAAAAATACTTTTTGGTTTAATTCACTGAATGTATAAATCTGAATGCACCCGTTTGATTCACGTAACATGAACAGACATTCGTTTTGTCCGTCACCGTTACGATAGTATTCAGGCAATGTCTGTCAATCGGTTCGTTGTGTAAGAAATGTCAAATTTTAAGTGTTTATGTAGTGATGAAAAGCGTGCAAGTTCATATTTTTTTTTAAAAATCCAAAATACACCTACTAGCTGACAATATTTGATGATATGTGTTTAAAATCTAGGATAAAGACAACTTATATTTTCATGAACATAACATACTTTGTGTAACGTAACAATTGACAGACAAACGTTCGTGGCTTCTCGGGCTCTCTCTGTAGCTCTTCTTATCGAAATGTAAACACATTTGCATAGAACACTGGAGAAAATTTAAATATTCATAACCTTTAAGTCAAATGTATAAGAAGAAGCATCTCCGAGCTCCTTCTTAAAATAGAACGTAACGCCCACTTGCCATGACAGACACAGGAAGCATCCCACAGATTTGTTAATTTCTAAGCACACGTGCTTTTCTGCTGAATCTGCGATCACTTAATTGATAAACAGGTAAATTTTCTATCAGTATACAAGAAAGATAAAATAGTTTGCATAAACAATGGCCCATTTTATAACAATGTACCCGGTGTATTGAGTCTGACAGACGTTACGTTCAAAATATGAGAAGAAATAAATTCCAATTTTTCTTTTATTTTAGACATAATGTGCATTAAAATACTTTTGTATGTTAATTTTATCCTTCTTAAACAGTAGTGAATGAAGATATTCTGTGTACAAGGTATTATCGCCGTATATTTGACTTTTATTTTGACATGGTTGAAAATGTCCCCCTACATATGCGTAATTCTAGTGGAATTATCAAATTCATTTCAAGAAAAAAAAAGTAAGTTGATGAAAAAATCTGCTCATTTTATCTTTTTTATATATTTGCAATATACTTTTCAATATAAAACATTTCTTATTTCAATTTTTTAAATAATTTATTTTATATTCCTCTTGTTAAAATCATAGGTCAAGATGTACTCAAGAGCGAATTTAGAGCCAAATCTAACAACCAAGCGTTTAACGATAAATATGATGACTTTAACTTTTCAATCGTCAACTTCCCTTACTTATGCAGCAATATACCCTTATCACCTGCATATGGGATGTAAATCTCTCAGTTGATTCGATACGCAAGAGCATGCTCTACGTATGAACAATTTTTAAACGAGGTAAGTTATTATAAAACAAGTTGATGAAACAAGAATATTAACATTCTCTTTGCAGTCATCATTTTGTAAGTTCTATGATGGATACAATAACCTTGTCAGCAAAAAACAGTCTATCATTAAGTCATATGCTGACTGACGTTTTTCATACTAATTGTTAGGCCATTATTTACACACTGAATTGTCGACGGATTTTTCCTCTATTTCCCGATCACGACAACGAGCACACGGCGGGGGATGCTACCTCCTCCATGGCACCTGATTCCACCTCTGATGTTTTGGAGGTCGTGTTTGCGCTGCTTCCGATTTGTATTGTTTTAGTCTTCGAGCTTGAATACTGTTCGTTATCTCCATATTTCATCAATAGATTTCCGTATCGTAAACGACAAAGTTTTCTGTGAATATAAAGTGCAACAAGGATCTGTTGACATAAAAATTCTGAAAGTATTGCATAAACAATATTGAGCCTTCTACTGGTATATATTTCTGTTAAATATAATCTAAATTAACTCACATAGCAAAATTCAGCTCAGTATTTGCAAATGACTGGAAAAAAGCCTCGGAACCCCAAGTGGAACAGACTGACTGACAGTTAGAGAGACAGATGGAGAGGAAACTAATAGCCCCTCCGGTTTTACGGGAAGGGGATTA